ACTACTACTACTACTACTACTACTACGACTACTACACTACTAACTTACTACTACTACTACTACTCCTACTACTACTACTACTACTACTACTACTACTACTACTACTACTACTACTACTACTATTACTACTACTACTACTACTGTTACTGGTACTACTACTACTACTACTACTACTCCTACTACTACTACTACTACTACTACTACTACTACTACTACTACTACTACTACTACTACTACTACTACTACTGCTACCACTACGATCACTAATACCACTACTACCTGCTTTTCCGCGTTGCGTTGTTCTGCATCGCATCCTTTTTTCGGTGGCCTTTTGGCGCCGCGGGAGTATCATATGATGCCGAATTATTTTCCTCGTCGCATGTGGATTCTGCGTCGTACGTTGGCCGTTATGGTTTCCTGATGCAGAAAAGCCGGTCGATTCTGCGTCGCGTGTCGCTTCTGCGTCGCACGTTAGCCGTCCTGCGTCTTGGCAAATTGGCAGGATGCGGGTTTCCAGCGTCGCGGACCCTCTGGGTGGCCTGGCCGCAGCTGGTCCCAGCCCCGGTCCCGGCCCTCGGTCCCGGTCCCGGCTCCGATCCCTGTTTCCGGCCCCGACCCCGGCCCCGACGCCCGCGGCTGATTCCATCCCCGGCCCCAGTCCAGCCCTGGCCACCGCCCCGGCCCCGGTTCCAGCTCCGGCCTCGGCCTCGGCCTCGGTCGGTCCTGGCCCCGGCCACAGCCCACATCCCAGCCCCGGCCCCGGCCCTGGCCCCAGCCCCGGCCAAACCCAGCCCCGGCCCCCAGCCCGGCCCCGACCCCAGCCCTGGCCCCAGCCCCAGCCCTGGCCCCAGCCCCGGCCCCAGCTCCGGCCCGGTGCCTGTCCTGGCCCCAGCCGACCCCAGCCCCGGCCCCTGTCCTGGCCTGGGCCCCGGCCCCTGCCCTGGTCCTGGCCCTGGCTCCCGGCCAGCTCCAGCCCTGGCCCCCGCCCTGCAGGTCCAGGCCCCAGCGCCAGCCCTGGCGCCTGCCCCCGGCCCTGGCCCTGACCCCGGCTCCAGTTCCAGCCATGGGCCCCGGCTGCCGGTCCTGGTGTCGGTTTTGGCCCTGGCCCAGGTTCTGGTTTCGGCGCCGGTCCCAAACCCGACCCTGGCCCTGGCCCCAGCTCCGACCCCAGCCCCCCGTCCCAGCTCTCGGTCCCGGTCCCGGCCTCCTCCTCCTCCTCATCTTCATCCTCCTCCTTTCTCCTTCCTCCTTCCTCCTTCCTCCTTCCTCCTTCCTCCTTCCTCCTTCCTCCTTCCTCCTTCCTCCTTCCTCTTTCCTCCTTCCTCCTTCCTCCTTCCTCCTTCCTCCTTCTTCTTTCCTCTTTCCTCCTTCCT